AACTCAATATATAAGGCAATAAGACACATGCAATATAAATAGCTTGTAAAACTCTTAAAACATGACGTAAAAATCATATTTATAATATCATAAAATACCATGCTTCCTCTCAAGGTCTACTTGTGCAATGTTTGAATGAAGTCCCATACCCCCCATCCATACTAAGCAGAACCCTCGAGGAACCATGCTCTTTCTACTGTGGGAGCTTCTCTAACCGACAAACCACCACTATGAATATGAGTGGTGATACAACGTTTTACCTCACGTTGCCCGAGGACCGTCCTATACCTTGCCGTGATATAGGAAGCTAATGATACAACGTTTTACCTCACGTTGCCCGAGGACCATCCTATACCTTGCCGTGATATAGGAAGCTAATGATACAACGTTTTACCTCACGTTGCCCGAGGACCATCCTATACCTTGCCGTGATATAGGAAGCTAATGATACAACGTTTTACCTCACGTTGCCCGAGGACCATCCTATACCTTGCCGTGATATAGGAAGCTAATGATACAACGTTTTACCTCACGTTGCCCTAGGACCATCCTATACCTGGTCTTGATATAGGAAGCTACTTTACTGAGTGGATCCACTAGCTTAACTTTACGGGTTTATCTAAAAAGTATGACCCGTTAATTCCCATGTTGGCTACATGGTTCTTATGGAGAGTTGAGTTTAATATGAACTCGCGTCCCCAAATCGGTGCTCGATACTACTCCCAAAATACTTTTAGCTCATAAGTGTTTTAAACACATCTTTCTTTAAATGAGATAATTACTCAAAATCTAGCCCAAAGGCTCACTTGGAAACGATGTTCCTTTTTCTTGAAAACTAGCCCTAAGGCTCTTTTGGAAATCAAAATCCCTTTCTTACTCAAATGTAAAAACATTTAGAAACTTCTTTGGGAATACATAGTTCCCTAATAGCTTTTGAGAAATGAACTCAACTTAACTCTTGTCTTGACTTGAAACTTAAGAGTCTTTACTTAGTTTGCAACTTGAGCCTTAGAATGAAGTAAAAACTTGCTTGAACTAACTTCATAATCACATGTTATGGATGAGTTCTTGATATTTAAACGCACCTTGAAGTGTTGGGAACAACTAGGAAACATAGGTACACTATCAAGGAACATGCATGGGAAGGTAGGAAATGAAAGGGATCACTTGGTGTCCTTGGCGCTTTGCAAGGCGCGGAGCGCCAGCCCTAAAAATTCAGAGGGTTCTTGCTGGCGCTCTGATAGGCGCGGCGCCCCAAGAGGGAAAATTCAGAACCCCTTTTGGGGCGCGCTGGTAGGCGTGACGCGCCAACCCCTCGCCCAGAAAACTCGACTTTCTCCCTCTTTTCTTTAACTCTAAACCACCCTTACTCCAAGGGCTTCAACCTCAAACACTAAGGATCATCATATCCCTCAACACACCATAGATTACAACTCAAAACACAACCAGAAACAAGTCCCAAATCAACAAGAATCTCAACATCAAAATCAACAACAATACCAACACAACCCAACAACTTCAACAACATAATCAATCCTTTCTCAATAAATAAAAAGGGGCTAGGTGTGTGGGGGGAAAAGGGATCAACCCACACTAACTACTCACATACCTTGATAGGGATCACCCCCGACGAAAATCCACGATGATCTTGATGAATCTTGTTGATCTCCTCTTTCTTCTCTTCTTCTTCTCCTTCTTCTCTCATTCTTCTCTTCTTCTTCTCTTATTCATGATCAAGCCCTAGCTTTCACTCTCTTAAAATGGAACAAAATGATCCATATATCAGCCTAACACAACAATATATCCTCAAAAGAAATAGCTAGGGAAAAGACCAAAATGCCCTTAAATTCCGGACGGATTCCTTGTCAACTGCCCAACTTTCAAAGGGCATATCTCACTCACACGAACTCAGAATTGAGCAAACTCGGTGGCGTTGAAAATATCATTCCAAGGGCTATGCAACCATAACTGGAAATACTTCTAACTCATCATGAGCTAGAAGTTACGACTAATCAAAGTTGGCCAAAAACTCACCTTTTCCATACTTGGCCAAAATTTTCCAGATTTTCAAATCCTTTCCAAAAATGAAAATTTTCAAATTCTAAGCCTCTTCTTAGTTATTTCAATTTGCCGGATGTTACACATACAGTAGGTCAATAGTAAACTTTCTTTGAGAAATTATAACTCCTGAATCTTTGTACAAAATCTCCAAACCTAGGAAGTATTGCAGTCTTCCCAAATCCTTAATCTTGAACTCATTATGGAGAGAACTCTTCAAAGAAGTAATCTCTATAATATCAGTACCAGTTATAATGACATCATCAACATAGACATCAACAAAGACTAAAGAACTTCCAATTTTTCTATAGAACAAAGAGTAATCACTAGCAGAATGAGAGTAGCCTCTTGAGTATAAAAATTGTGCCAACTTGTCATACCATTGTTTACTTGCTTGCTTCAGCCCATACAAGGAATTCTTGAGCTTACAAACCATTCTTGTATCAGTCACCATAAGTCCAGGCGGTATGTCCATATACACTTCCTCATGGAGATCTCCATGAAGGAAGACATTATTCACATTCAGTTGGTACATGTCCCAGCCTTTCTTAACAGCCAGACTGATTAGAATCCTGATTGTAGTCATTTTAACTACTGGAGAAAAAGTCTCATTGTAATCAATGTCAGCTTGTTGAGTGTATCCCTTCACAACTAGTCTAGCTTTCAATCTCTCTATTGTGCCATCATCCTTGTGTTTAACTTTGTAAACCCACTTGCATCCAATTGCCTTCTTTCCTATGGGCAGTTTAACAAGATCCCATGTCTCATTAACATGCAATGCTTCAAATTCTGATGTCATAGTTGTCTGCCAAGCAGGATCAAGTGTTGCCTCTTCATATGAGCATGGTTCAGTGTTATGAAAAAGACCTTTAACACTGTGTTGACTATCTTGGTTAAGACTTGTAAGAGAACAATAATGAGTGGCAGGTGTAAAGTTAAATGATGGGGTCGAGGAAGGCTGAGTATGCAAAGAGGGTATGGAATAACTGTATTATTTCAAGTAGGTGGGGATGATATGGGGCCTACTGGACCTTCTAAGGTTTAGTGTTTGGGTTTGATGTTGTTCAGTGGTATCAGGTAAGGCATGTCCAGTTGAGCTGGGTTGTCTATTTGTTGAAGGTGAAGTAGAATCTAATGATTGTTCAAAAGTTGATGATGGAGATGCTTGTGAAAGTATAGATGCAGACAAGTCAGTATTAGTGACAGTAAAATTAGTGTCATCATCATCCAAAACAACAGCTTTGTTAAAAGTATCACAAGTAGAGTTTGACATGTTTGAATTAGTATTCAAAGTTCTTACTATTGTGGAAAAACTAGGATCAGTTTCAGACTTAGACAAGGCAAAAAGAAAGACATTCTCATGAAAATTTACATCCCTAGAAACATGTATCCTTTTGGTACTTAGATCTAGGACTTTATAGCCTTTTGTATTGAAAGGATATCCAATTAAAATGTGAGGTGTGGATCTTGGATCAAATTTGTCCTTATGAGTCTTTATAGTAGGGAAACATAAACACCTAAAGGACCTAAGGTGAGAATAAGTGGAAGGTTGGTGGTACAATATTTCAAAGGGTGTTTTGTTGTGGAGAACTATATTGGGAAGTCTATTGATTAAGTAAGTAGCTGTTAAAATGCATTCTCCCCAATATGTGATGGAAAGTTTGGATTGGTACAGAAGTGCTCTAGCAACCTCCAAAAGGTGTTTGTGTTTTCTTTTCACTACACCATTTTATTGTGGTGTGTAGGGACAAGTCTTTTGGTGTATTATTCCCTTTGCATGAAAATACATGAAGGTTTCATTATTGGTGAACTCTGTACCATTGTCAGTTCTTATTGACTTGACAGTGGTTTTGAACTGATTTTCAACAAGTGATATGAAGGATTTTATGGTTTGAAGAGTGTTGGTTTTGCAACGGAAGAGGTGAGTCCATGTTGATCTACTAAAGTCATCAACTATGGTCAAAAAGTACTTGTAATTGTTGTGAGTTGAGGCATGGTATGGCCCCCATAAATCCATGTGAAAGAGATCAAAGGTATTGGTGCTAGAGACAATGGTCTTGGTTGGAAAAGGAAGTCTGGTTTGTCTAGCCATAGGGCATACAATGCATATGAAGGGCTGTTTTGATGAGAAGGTTATGGGAATGGTAGGAATACCTTTCATTTTTACAAAAGGAACATGTCTTAGCCTATTATATCACAAGTGATCAACATTGTTTCCATTAGGCAAGCATGTTGTGGCAGGGCCATTCAATTTAGAAGAGACAATATCAGAAACACAGGTAGGCAACACATTATTATTGCCTAAACAAGTGGATCTTACATCTGTAGTCTTACAAGTGGTCAAACAATAGTACAATCAGAAAAACAAGGTAAAGAACTGGAAATAAGTGTAGCAGAAGAAATGGGAGTAGAACATGCAATGTGACACCTTGAGCACATATAGTATAACCCATTTTGTGCTCTACCAATCTCCAGAGGGCTCTTCATTGAAGGGCCCTGCATGAAACAAGAACTGATATCAACTTGAATTTAAAATTAGGCACAAACAATACTTTATACAAAGTGAGTGAAGAATTTAGATGTATATCACCAATTTCTGTCACATTTACTTTATAGCCATTTGGAAGGGTAATTAGGAAAGGACTGGGTAAAGGTCTGAGGTTTGTGAGTAATGATTTTGTGAAGGTCATGTGATGTGTCGCCCCTGAGTCTATAATCCAAGAGTCAATAGAGAATTTTAGGCATTTACATGACAAATTTCCAATATCATTAATTGAAGAGGAGCATGCTAAGTTACCTGCAAAGTTAACAGCTCTACTATTCAAGTTGTTCCCAGATTCCTTTGCAGTGTTACTTCATCCTGGAATCTGGATGTGCTCTAGTAAATTTACCAACTGATGAATTTTTTGTTGAGTTAGACTTTGTTCATGCATTTTCCCTTTTCATTTGCCTACTTCATGATTCTTGTCACATGTATCTTCCAGAAACTCCTCAGAAAAAACATTTGCAGTAGCTGCTATTCCTGCATTCTTTCCCTTAGTAAACTTGAAATTAGGAGGAAAGTCATGTAGCTTGTAACACTTTTCTTTGATATGACCAGTCTTCTTACAATGGTTACAAAAGAGATTAGACATGTTAGGAGCCTTGTTGTTGCCCCCATTATTTCTATTAGGAGCATAGTTAGTCCTGAAATTTGTGCTAGTACTGGCAGCATTCACATGAAAAGAAGTGGAGTCCAAATTGAACCTGTTCTGAGGCTTCACCTCTCTTTGTTTCTCCTCCTGGACAATAATAGAAAAGGTTTGAGCCATAGTGGGTAATGGATTCATCATCAAGATGCTGCCTCTCACAATGGTGTAAATTTCATTCAATCCCATCAGGAATTGAATAAGTCTCTTATCCAACTCGGCTTTATGCATTTTCGATTTACCAGTACATGTGCGCAGACATGTGCATTGTGAATTTGTGTCTAATGTGTTAATCTCCTTCCATAACTTCTTAATTCTAGTGTAATACCCAGTAATGTCCAAGTTCCCCTGACCAAGGTCATTGATTTCGCGCTGAAGTTGATACAATTTAGCTCCATTAGTTTGATCATACTTGTCCTGTAATTCAATCCAAAGTTCTCTTGCATTGTCTACGTATTGCAGGCTATTTCTGAGATCTTTGGATAGAGAATTCAAAATCCAGGAAGTGACCATATCATCGCATCTCTCCCACTGAGGAAATTCGATTGAATCTGTAGATGGTCTTTTCCCTTTCCCATTGATGAAACCTGTTTTGTTCTTTACAGATAGGCCTCAAAGAATATCTCGTCTCCATGAGCGATATCCAGATCAATCGAACAGGATAGGGACGAGTGTAGACCCAGCATTCTCAGAAAGATGGACATAGAATACACTGGTTAGATCCAGAGAAACAGGGACTGGAGGGTTGATTGCCATTTGAAGTTGTTTCCTGATGACTGCTCTGTTCCATTCTATGTGAAATTGAATTACTGAAAGAAAAAGGGACGAAACTAAAAGGATTTGAACTGCGGAGAGTGAAAGAGAACCGTCTCGACTCTGATACCATATTGAGTTAAACGAAGACTGATGGAGAATATTGATTCTCCATTTATGCTGATCTGAAGCTTTGAGGAAAAATGAAGAATGTTGTGATTTGGGGAAATGAAAACTGAACTTCATTTCATGAAGATGTAGTGTATTTATACAGACTCAACAATAAGAAGGTTCTGGAATCTAACTAACTAACAACAAAAATTAACTAACTCATCAACAAGAATAAAATGAATAACAGACTTAACTGACTTAGTTCATCACACTTATTACACTAATTGCCCTTGAATAAACTTTATATTAACAGACATGAATTACATTGTGGTGCCTTTGCCTATCAATAATTCATATTGGCGTTAATTTTTGTGTGAAAAAAATATAATAATCTAAACACATAGTTTAATCACTATTAAAAAAATGAGAAATTCTAAATCCATCCAAAACACTAGGGAATTTCTCCCGATTTTAGTAGTGAATAAATATATGGATTTTTTTAAAAAATATACTGTCTAAAACAAGTCATAGACATTTGTGTCGTAACAAATCATCTTATTGAAGATAAAATGAATAGTTTAAAATTAAATATTTTCGAATTAAAAAAAATGTCATTGGTCTTCAAATAAAAAGAGTATTATTGAAAATAAACATTTAGCAGTCAAAAAAAGACAAGTGATATAGTACTAGGAATAATTTGTGGTGGAGAAGGCATGGCGCGCGGGTATTAATGTCATCGAGGCAAGACTTTTTCTACTGTATGTGACATGATGTAACTCGTACTATTAATATTCTCTCTGTTTTTAATTACTTGTTTACTTTTGAATTGACACACCTATTAAGAAAATAATAATTGACATAGTGAGTTTACCATTTTATCACTATTAATTATGAAGTGGATGAATTAAAAACTTAAGATTTTCAAGAAATTGTACATTTTTCAAAGTAATTAATTGAAGGTATAATAGATAAAAAAATAATTGTCTTTTCTTGATTTGTCAAATTAGACAAATAAAAAAAAAGTGAACAAATAATTAAGGACAAGGAAGTACGTTTTACGTAGTTAATGCTATTGTCCTTACTCGAGATGGATTTAAACGTGGTTAGTTTAATTTGGTTATAAGAATTCAAAGAACCATGTATCACATGCACTGTATGTGAATAATTCTTAAAACGCAAAAGAAGTTTATTTGAACTTGATTTGCCACAGCCATAAATATGAGACCTCCTACCCTACAATGACAAACTTAATGGAGCTCCAATGTCAATTAAGTGGACTTGTACGTATATCCAAATTCATTGAGAAAAGAAATTAAGGTTCAAATAAACCTTTCAATGTTTTACTGGTTAAGGTGTACAAAATCAAACCAAAAACCGAATCAAATCGTAAATTGAGTCAAATCGAGAAAAAAGACCCGACTAATGGTTGGTTTGATTTGGTTTGGTATTGGAAAAAAAAATCCGACAATATTTGGGTTGGTTTGGTTTTAACTAAAAAAAAACCAACTCGAGACCAAACCAATCCAACATTATATATATAATTTTAAAATTTTATTTTATACATAAAAATATTTACTTTGATATAATTTTTAATTATTTCTTATACTTTTTCATAGTTTTTATCTTTTAATATATTATTAATTCAAGTTTGAAACTTAGAATTCTAAATGGTTCAATAAAGATTATAGTCCACAGATATTGGTAATTATAATAAAGCTTAAATCAAAATTAAATTAATACTAAAGCAAAAAAAATAATCAATTCAACATTAAGAATGACAATAATATTGAATCTTTGTTCTATGGTTTTACATTGGTTTATTCAAATACATAATCTAATTTTAATTTCCTTTAATATTTAGTCATGTAACTAATACTTATTAAACTTATTTTAGCATGATTTAGTACTTTTAAATTATGATCATTTTCATTATGACTTGTTAATTTGCAATATTTGTTTTACGCGATTTCATTATTATTATT